ATTTTTAATTCAATCAGTATTTGAAAACTCCTTTACTGTAAAAGTAGTCTTACATTTCACAAACAGTTTATTCTCCTCTTCGCCAAGAGACTTACATCCGACACTAAAGGTTCTGTTACTAGAGGTAAACAATAATATGTGGTTTATATATGTATAGTGTATGTCAAATTTAATAAATAAGTACTTAAAACTTAAAATATTCCTAGAAGTGTTCGAACAGTAAAGAAGAAATAACTACAAACATTTAATTAATTTATTGAAATTTGGCTGACTACACAACGCTGTTTCTAGTATTGCCAAGTACTCATCATCAGTGATCTGAAGAAATATTTGAATTTTATAGATTTATTAGTTTATACTCCTTTTCGTTATAAGACTCGTCATTTCCGACAAAACAAATCAACCTTAAAAATATTAACTTTGTACGGAAGTGAATGTGAATAAAAAACTGTCCCCCATTATTTATTTTTGTTACTATTAACAATCACTCACAATATTTTGAGACTATGCTCCATAATTTATTTGTCTTAAGACCGTATACTTGAAAAAATTGTAATAATGTAGAAAAAGAAATATTGTCAACTTACAATATATAAGAAGTTGTACAAATTCTTAATTAGGATTTAATTAACGCATATATTATATAATAGTATTACTGCATATAGAGGCTGAAGAAAGAATTATTTTATGACAATTATTTATGAGTTCTTTATATATTAGAGAAAGACTCATTCTAAATGTATCTTAAGCTATGACATACTTCCCTCCCTAGACTGTGCCTTCTACCAATTTTGCTTTCTGTGGTCAATTTACGTCGAACGTTTTTTTTTAGATGACTGAAAGTGTGCCCAACATTTTCCGATGTTCGTCATATATAAATATATAACATATATTCGATGTTCACTATATTCAGTATCTTAAAAAGAAACAACCACAGTACAAAATTCTATACTGTGTTTTTGAATATGTATTTGCTATAAACAGTTTATTTCTGAAGATATAATTTATACAGTTATATTATGTATGGAAGAAATAAGTTTTACTTATCAAAAATTCTCTCACATATTTTAGATACTTCATGTATTAAAAGCTCAAACAAAACATTCATATAAAAGACCAACAAACCGAGTGGTCCAAAGCACTTTATATAATCCAAGTATAAATAATTAATTTCAATTATGATTTGAATCAACTGCTTTCAGCAGTCAAACACACTACTTTGAACATAATCATCCACAAAGTTCCAAGAGATGGTAGTACAACTCCAGTTTTTACCAACAACTTGTCATTTCACTCAACAACGTCCTGATTATACTTAATTGTGTCTGTTTTGGTTTGTTTAATGAAAACCTAAATCATCCTTGTCACATTCGAGAATTACAATAAATTGTCTCAGCACTTGATGAAGTGTTAAAGAAACACTGGCTACACAACAAATCTCTCAATTAAATGCAAATTTAAATGTATAATTAATGAGAACTCAAGTATGAATTTCTTTAGTGATGTATTGGCATTTTTAAGTTCATTCCATGTCATTGTGTACTAGACAAATGCAAAGGACAATGGCGCATAAATTAATACGTGCTTGAGGCTGAAAGTACGACCGAATTTATCGCCGAATACATTTGTGGAATTTTTAAAAAGGTTTTTTGACATGGACTCCGCATTAGCTTCAAAAGCACAAATTAAATGTTATTTTCTGGTTTTTATTTTATAATTTTTTCTGTATTTGTATTAGAAATTTTTCTTTTAATTTATTGTTAAAAATTTTTATTTTAAGCTGTATCTAACTTGAATTTTGATATGACAAATGACTACAATAAAATTCACTTAGGAACATTTTAGATTGTTTGTCAATGTTACTCATACGTTCCACTTAACAGAAAAAATTAGTCAATTTGCAACATAAAATCAACTTTTTTAGACTTTTTACGACTTTTGAAAAACATTAAAAAGAATTTATTATAATGTTTATAAAAAATGTAAATAACTTTATCAGCATCGTAAAATATAAAGGAAATAATGTTGCAATTATTGTGAGCTTACAACCGCAATGAAATATATTTTAACTGTCACAGTTATGACCAAGAAAGACAACAGATTTTAATTTTAAAATGTTTCATATTGCTCTGAAATTCTATAAAAATATATACAGTGCCAGCTCATTTAATTGAACACCAACAGGAACAAAAATTGTATTCAATAAGAAGAACTGCTAAACGAGCAGTCAACGTACTTTGTATATATGTAAATCAAAAACTAGAGACTAGCAATGTTCCACTCTTAGATGCGATATCTATTTATAGTAGCATGAGTATTTTAGTAAAACAGACTAACTGTATATATCGATATTGGATAAAGAGGACTGTCCGTTCAAATATGTAAACATACTTCGTATGCAAAATGAAAACTAGCGACGAGCAAGTTTCCACTTCAAGTCTAATAGAGATGGTTGTATATGATCTCATTCCATAGGTAAGTAAATTCAAAACTAGTCTGGGAATGCCTCCAACTTCGTAAAGATTTTGCTAAAGGAAACCAGGTTCACTTAATATGGATCCCATGACACAGTAAATTTGAAGGAAACAAGAAAATCAAAAACTAGCCAGAAAAGAGGCGGCTTCATGCTTTATTAGGCCTATCTGCGGTCTTTCATGGAGCGTCTTTAAACTTAAAATTAATGATGGCTGGAAAAAGCAACTGAGACCGATTGAGATAACATAATTGCCTGTGAACAAGCTAAAGAATTCATATTAAATTACCCAAAAGCCAGAACGTGGGAGCTGCTAATGATGAACAGAAAAGGCATTCGGCTTGTCACAGGTCATTGCGTAGGTAAGAAACATCTATCGAATCTAGATATCATAAGAGACGATAGCTGCAGAATTTGTCACGAAGAAAAGAAAACAGCACAACACATTCTGTGTTACTGTGATAGTCTCGCTACATTCAAACTTCGGCGCTTATCAACTGCCTATCCACTTATAGCGCAAATATTCAACATCTCTCTAAGGTACATAATGGCATTTTTAACTACTATGCTCCTATAGAACTAAAATAGATATCACAATAATCGTCAATGATGCAGTGACGTCATAAGATGATTCCCAGCCATCATCAATTTAATAAAATTTTTATGACCCTTTAAGAACAGAGTTAGGTATCAGGTCGATATTAGGTTAAAAAAACTGTCCGTTTAAATTACCGTACTTTATATGCACTAGTAACAATCATGTTGCTAGTTTATAGTTTATGAACTATAATCTATGTCAGATGTCTGTTAATGAGAGCGTTCATTTATAAAGCTTCCATGATTTTTTAAGAGAATTTTGTTGGGTTTTTGTATATAATTTTGAAGATGTTTTTCAAACTAAAGGAATTTAATTTTATTAAGTAAAAAATATAAAGTTATATAATATGTTATGATTATTTATACAATATAGGCAGTTTTTTGATAATGAATTGAGAAATCTTATTATGGCTTATTTCTGTTGTTTATGTAGTTTCTCCAGATTATCTAACAAATTTCGTTGAGCTAACAATTGTATACGTTTCTCGATAAGTCCCAATGGCTTTTGTGGTACAAGATGACAAGTTGATTGCCTGATAAGGAAATATTTACAATAAATTATTTTATAGCACAATAAATAGCACAAAAAAAATTATAATACTTATAGATGATTTTCTCACGATCAGCCCACGGCCAAGAACGTTCAAATTTATCCAACGGCTAATTGATATATATAGTAAAAGTTTGAAGTAGTTAATTGAATAAAAAAATTTAAAATATGGTATGCATTACGTACTGCCTTGTCTTGCTTTTCCTGTTTAAGTATATTTTCTCCATCGGTTATTGTTGTCACAACAATCTGCTGATCGTCCTTCTTTTCTGCATTTACGCCTTTAAACAAGTCAACATCTTCGTGCTCTAATTTTCTATGCTTTACTTTGTCTTCATCGTTTAAATGTAATTTTGGTATTTTTTTCATATTCCAAGTGAATGTGGTGTTATAGAAATCCTCATCATCATTTGCTTCATTGTCACCATAACAATTACTATCACTTTCATCGACATTGTTAGCGTCATCGTTGTCATCATCCTCATCTACATCGTCATTCTCATTGTCACTGTCGTTTTCATCATAATCTTCTAACTCACATTCGCTGCTGTCATTGAATTGGCCAGGCTTATCATCGTTGTCTTCCTGCTCAGACGTGTAATCACTTTCATTATCGTCTATAGCCTCCAGCCGCAACGTGCAATTATATTCATTGGTATCATTGTCTTCATTTTCATCATTATCATCGAGTGTATCGTTATCATCGTCTCTGTCATTTTCTTCGTATGTATTAGCTTCCGAGGCATAATCAGATTCCGGGGTGGCTTCTTTTAAATTTGTGCGTTTAATTTTTTTCAGGTGCTGACGCAATTTCACAACTTTGACATATTTTCCATTGCCCTGCGTATGGCTGCGGTCGTCATAGTCATCATCGGTGTCAGCGTCGGCGTCTTCATCGTTATCATCATCACTCAATTCATAATCAATTGCATCCTCGTCGTAGGAATATTTTCTTTGTTGTGTTATGTTAACTGGAAAATTTGGTTGCTTTTGCTGTTGGTCGTGCTGTTGTTGAAGTTGTTGGTGTTGCTGGTGCTGTTGTTGCTCGTTTGGCATCAATTTATCAAATGTCTGCGATACTGTTGCCAATGTTGATGACAATATTTTTGGTATTTCTGCAATTTCGGAGAGTTTCCGTTGCATAGCACGTAAACGCGCCTCTATTGAAGCTGCTGTGGTTAAATTTTGAAAATTGAAAATAAATTCGCCAATTTAAAATTATTTACATTATTGTTAATATATTATTTATTTCAATTAAATTATTAAGTACAATAGCTTAATTTATTTATTATTAAATATTTATTTAATTTTCAGTACATTACACATATTTACAAATCACGTATACATAATTTTTTTTTTTGTATTTAGTATTTTTTTTACATTTAATTTGTTAATAATTAGAGTTTATTTTATAACGCAAAACTTTGCTGCTTTTAATTTTTTTGCATCTTAGAAGCACTTGGAAGAGCCAGTAGCATGTCTTCAATAACGCGATTCTTAAGTTCTTGATTTTCACCCACTTCCGTAAAGAAACGTCTTATGTTGCGTATAATACGATAGTGTGGCAACTCTTTCTGCTTAGCATTTAATTATTTTTCACAAATTTCGTAAAAGGATAAAAATTAGAAAACATAAAAGAAATTTGTTATTTGCAAGTCAAAAATGTTAAATGGTTTTGTTGTTGGCATTGTGCAAGTACCACAAAACAGCAGCACATAGAAGAGGAAGTCTTAGTATATCTAAGGCTCTTATATTCAAGTACACAAAAGATTTTTGCGAATTTTAATGCAGAAACTGTAGTAAAATAAGAATTATTTTATAATTCCTATTTATGTATGTGGCTTCCGCTTTGTGATACTTGTATTGTCTAATATTTTAAGTATATGCACCTCCTCTTCCTCATCAGAAGATTCATCTTCACTCAATTCGATTACAACTTCATTGCCTTCCTCATCGGTTATGGTTTTAGTTTTCTTTTTTTTGGGTTGTGGTGGTTTAGGTGGATCTTTCCACATAACTGGATGCCAACAACTAGAACCAAGCAAGGGAGTTGGGGTGAATTCTAAAAAATATGAAATAAATTAAAAAAACATGTTAATAACTTTTTAATGCGATTTCTTTAAACAAAAATTAGCAATAAATAACAATAATTAGCAAGCAAGACAATGGTTATGAGTGGAACAAAAAGTAGAACTCATTTACATGGAAAAAAATAAGTTGACATTTATGAAAAAATATTTAAGACCAACCTTTTGGTGGCGGTGGCGGTTTCGGTACACGCAAAACAATAGATTTTTCTTCGCCAGGTTCATTGCCATTCAAGTTATCGTCATCATCCATGCTGTTTTTTTTTTTGATAATATTTGCAAATGTAAAAAGTAAGTAATTAAGTTTTTTTAAGAAATAAGAATGGAAAATATCTTTAATAATTTTAATATTATTTTACCTTTTCACTAGAAAATGTATTTTTTTGCCTGCGGCGTCAATTTTTTCGTGTGCCTGGGCAAGCGTTAATTGTGTGGCGTCTTCTTCGTTTATTTCAAGAATAATGTCACCCAAACGTATGCCGCTCTTGTCAGCTAAACCGTCTGGGGTAACCTAAAAAAATGATTTAAGTTAATAAAAGATAAAACCAAATTAATTGCACTTAATTTTGAGAATTTATATCTATATCAAATTTTATTTATTCCTAATATTTTTGAAGTAATTACTTTGTCTTACTTAGTTTTGTTAAATGGAAATATGCCTTCGCGACAGCCAACAACTACTGCAGATAATGCTACAACACCGAATGAACACTGACAAAAAATTAACAATAATCTTAGGCAAATATTATAAAGTTTTTACTTTTGCTGCGCTAAATTAAATATTTTAACCCACTTAGGAAAGCCAAATTATACTACAGTCGGCAGTTGGCCATTATTATTGACGAGATAAAGCAACTGTGGATTATAGACATAAAATAATTTTTCTTATACATTGTGAAAGTTTAATATGTTTACAACTAGGTTAATTACAAATCGATGCTGGCAACCAATCCTAGAAAAACTTTAACATTTTAGTAATCTGAGTTACAAAAACCTATCAACTATTTAAAACAAAATATAGGCACATACTTTTTGTTTCATTTTTTAATCACACATAAAAGACAATCACTTCAGGTTTCTTGTTAATATCTCATAATCGCATATTTTATAAGAAACTATATTAAATAAACACCTTTTCAACACCTACGCAAGTACACGAAAGTATCCGAAACAGCTGTTTTGAGAAGCTTAGCATGCATATTAAACCTTCAAACATACATATTAACCCTTTGTTCTACCAAGAAGAGATTACCCTATTGTAACTACATTAAAAGTCCGTGTACTCTTAAAAGCATACCAGTTTTGGGTAGTTTATGGTTTCTACAAACTATGGTATATCCAGTAATTTCTATACACAGGTCGTGTCTCAGTTCATTGAGCTATTTGTCAATCTCCATCTAACCATCTAATGCCATCCGGATTTCGTGTTAGGACCATATGCGGTACGGCATTACATATTTTTAAGATGTTAGTCTATTATATCCATCCGTATTTCTTTACTCCAATGGTAATATTGATTTGATAACTTGACAACCTTAATGCTATATGTTAGGCATATTCTTCAGTTATCAGACTTGAAAGTGTCGATTTTGAATAAACATCCATATTTGAAGAATTACTTACTATATTCATATAGTAAGTAAGTGATTTCTTCTCATTTCTGATAACGTATATAAAAAAATGGCTTATTGCAAACATAAAAAAAGTGTAGAGCAAAAAAAAAATTCAATTTTTACTATATATTTCTAATTAACGCAATATGCTCGTACGAGTGCCCTACCTACTTGCTGAAGTTGGAGATAGCAATTATTTTGATTTCAGCACACGAGGAGATACCATAAAGTTGTGCAATGATGTATATCTGTAAGTGTCGCATATAGAAGATGTTGTAGTCAATTATTTTATCAAACGTGTTAGTATTATAAACAGCAAACAGTCAATGACTCTGCATTATGATTTAAAATAATTAATTTGGAAATTTGACTGATACAAAGTTTTTTTTCAAAGTTATCATTTTCAGCAAGGTTTTCTTGCTTTTGTAGCTTTGTACTGATCCAATTATTTTATTTATTTAATTATTTTCCAATTATTGCAGCAAGTTTTCAGAATTCCAAATTTCTTTAAACAGCGGGTTAACCGTTTTAGCGACAAAGTCAAATCAAGTTTCAGACATTCTGGTAGCTTATAACCAGATTTCTAATGATCTTTGATCTACGAACAGATATCGGAACAGATATTTTATAGCATAAGTCAATACCGTCAGGATAGACCGCACAGACCCAATATGAAGCACACGAAAATATATATGACAGCCCATATTTTAACTGAATACTATACTTTCATTACCCTGATGAAATTAATAGCAGTAAATAATTGAATTTAAGTGAATACAATTAATTTTTCTGTTATTTTAACAATCGATTTCTATGGCAGTTCGAAATATTATTTTAAACTGCCCTCATGAACTCTTGTTATTTATGCCTTTCATATAGATTGTGCCACTTCAGTGTTCATCGGACTTAAAATTGCTTTCTTCAAAGCAAATAAAATTTTTAAGAAAATATTACCATCTATCTATCTACTTCAGATTCCGATGAATTTAAATTTAAATTACTTGTTATAATTTACTTAATTTACTTAAGCAACTTTAATTAATTTCATTTATTTAATTTAATTTTAATTTTAAATTGAATTTATTGGTTAGATATTAGTTTACCCGAAAAGTATGGTATACCAAATTTCATTGTGGAATAAACTTAAAACCTTGCTGTCAGAACTACTTATTTTTGTATACATTTTGTGTATAAAGTAATAAAAAATATACATTTTTTATAATAAAAAAAATAATAGAAAAATTATTGACTATTATTATATAATAGACACAAACACAAACAGATAATGGCTACCTTTATCACATATATGAGATAATTGAATTAACCTTAGAATTAACGAGATGCAAAACAAATAATCTGTAAAATCCGCAAATATTACTTCAACAGCTCACTTTAACGATCTTATTATTTATATTATTCATATTTCTCAACATAATAGATTTCAATAAAATAAATGGATAATATAGGTAGACAGAAGTCACTTCTTTTTATTTAAATTATTTTAATTAATTATTTATTTTTTAAATTATTTATTTTAGTTTTTTCTCTGCGTTTTTCTTTTAGCTTTTGTCTATTTATTCCACTAACATCCCAGTTGTTCGTTTGTGATTACTGTGATGTTGTGTGCTTGTATTAGCAAATATAAATGCAAGTAAGTAAGTAAGTTTGCATACAAAAGAATTTTTTATTTCCAGTAGAGTTTTATTTATTTTTAACTTAAAAGATAAGAATAAAATAGTAAGTTTACTTTGTTTACCACATATTATCCCTTGTTGATTATTTTTAAATCTATTCAACTTTGGAGATATATAATTTATTTCATTTGAGCTAAAAGCCATTTTCAATAAAACGAATATTATTACTAAGTACCTATTCAATTAATAATATTAATAATTGTATCCCATTTCTTCTTTTTAACTACTACTGTACAGTTGTGACATTAGGACTGTTCCACGAGCTACTCGTAGTAACTTTGAGTAACACTGTGTATACACAAGCGCATTCCACCAGCAAATGTTCGAGTAAATAAGAGCATCTGAGAAAGCGTAACATCCCTGTTGAAATTTGAACCTATTATCTACACCTGTTATCTACACATTTTATATTAAAAACAACAAACTTTTTTGCTTATTGTCAACTTCAAAGATATCTTGAATGTCACTTACTAGTAGTCTACTAGTTATCGTTATATCTCAGAATATCAGATAATTATATCTCAGAATTAAATATCTGATATTAGAACTACTTGAGTATTTCAGATCTCTGTACAACTGTTCGTAGAGTGCAAATTGTCATGAAAATAAGTTATTTTTGTAATAACCAAAACAATAAGTTCCTAAGCTACATTGTTATTGTTTTTAATTATTTTTTGTTTATAGTTTTTGGCACTGTTTTTATCAACAAAATTTTTTTAATTACTTAAATTTTGTTATGTATTTTAATATTTAAATAAATATTCCAATCTGTCTTAAAGCGTATGGACGTTTTCGTCGTTCGTACAACAACGTCAGTTGGGTACTGTCAAAAAGACTTCGAGCAATTTGTAAAATTTTGGCAGCCTCTGTGCTGACTTGCAACAGAAAAAGTAATTGACGCATGTGGCACGAGTCGGATATGAAAATGTTAATTGATGTTCTACTTTTTTCTAATTTATGAACCATCAAGTGCAGCCAAAATTTTACTTATTAATTTTTACTTAATATTTTTAATAAAAATTACAAAATGTAAAATATTCATATTCAGAATAAATTCTTTATATATAATTTAATTTTTTTTTTATATGCAAAAAAATTGGGTCTCATTTAAGCATTAGAATATCATTAATCCTTTTAATTAAAAAAAATAGAAAAAAAACAAAAATATAACAAAACTATAACGCATTCTATACCAAAACGTGATGAATGTCGAAATAAATTCTCTTGTGTTTACGATTAGTTTACAAAAATACTAGAGCTCTGAGCTGAAAAATGTGATTTGAGGTAGAACAATATTTGAACTGACACATGATAGATATTATATTTTGCAAATGTATTTTAAGTTGGTGATAGTCGTCGAAATGATCACTGATATACTATTAAAAAGACACTGATCTGAGTACTTACATCTAATCAAACTGTAATCGAAGTTAAATCGAAAGTCATTCTATCCAATGTCATATCTGATAAATTAAATAAACCTAACACCATACAGTCGATTGAATACCAGAAACCAACGACCATTACAGATTATTACAATACTATTACAGTCACTATTTCAGTACGTTAACTCACATACAGTGGCGCAGTCATTTATTCTCTTGATAATTACATATCAATATGTATTATGCTGGTCTTTTTTAAAAAAAATTACGAATTAAATGCCGAAACAGGTTTACTTGTAAGAAGATTTAGCATAAAAAGATTTAACAATTTCGATTATTAAAGTAGATTAAAGTAAATAGAACTAAACCCAACACTAATATCTATCTTATATTATCATTTAATAAGCTAGCATATACAGCAACAAGTAACTCTAACCAACAATTATCCTATCTATACTAAGAGATTGGTAGGAAAGTCAAGCTCTCAGTTATTCTTTCAGTACCACACCTACAACTCTTTAAAATCTTCTCTTTGAAATGACACAGGAAAACTACAAAAAACTGATATCTGCATAAAATATTTAAAAAATATAAATTAATTAAAGTGATGCAAGTAACTCTTGCATCAAGACTTCCTAAAATAGTAAATCAATCAAATTCATATTGCTATTGACACCAAAATTATAACTGAAATCCATCCCCCGTTACCTTTCATGGTGACTCAGAAACTGGAAAATAAAATTAACGCAGATTACTTCCACAAGAAAAAAAATGCAAAAACGATTTGAGAAACCACACCAGTGAACTAGTTAGCCAACTCATAGATTCAAACGTTCATGTAGATGGACCTCATATGTGGTTTAAGATCATATATAAAAGTTTTGCTTAATAAATCGATTTGAGCCACTAAAGGTTCTGGTGTTCAATAATGTTCACTTATAAGTGTTATGCATTGCTCTATGTTAACAGATAGTGATATGTATTTAACTTTAAAAAAAAAACAGAAATGCGATCATCTGATAATAAAAGCCCTAAACAAACAAAACGGCAGTCTACTTTTAATTCGCGATAGAGCCATTCTAATATTAAAACTGACCTCAAAAAATCAAACAATAATTACTTAGTGATAATTTTAGTCTTGACTGGAGATTCCACATTTTCTTAATTGTTAAATTAGTATACATGTTAGACCCAAAATAACGAGTGTATACTTGAAAAAAGAAAAAATGATATTTTCCTAAACTATTATAAATTGCAATTTTCCTCTTATATATTGAATAGAGTCATTATTATAAATGATTTATTCTCGAAAGTTCTGAACTCAAAATAAAACAGTTGGCCAAAATTATCTATTCTTTCAAATAATTTATAACAGAACACCATTTACAATTATTTTTTATATAAAATAGATTAATTCATCACTAAAGTCTGTTAGCATTTTTTAGATAATGAGTCACAAAAAAAATCTAAACAGAATAATATATATAGAATATATATAGAATGTATATAGAATAATATATAATATAATATAGTATAATTCTCACCTGAAAAACTGTTAACGGCATATGAAACTCTGCTCCGCCAGTTATAAGGAAACCCCACTTTGAATCATCTTTACTTGCGTATGCATCAGAATCAGTATCGAAGGCGGGAAAACCATCGGTATCACCGATACCGCACGATACTTTAATAACCGGTGGTTTTTTTGGCGGTTCCGGCGTGTACGAATACAACAAACCAAAATTAGCTTCCGGCATATTTAAATGTTTATTTTATTTTTTTAATTTTAATTCGAAATAAGCAATTAAAACACTTTCTTTGTTTGTTTTTATCCGCTCTTTTGTTTTTGAGTAACAAAAACTATAATAATTCACTCAGTTTTTTACTCAAAAATTATAAATAAAAATTTATACTGTAAAGAGCACTATATTAATTTTAAATAGATTTTATTTAATAAAAATAAAATATTTTAAAAACAACACAGTGGGATAATAGATATTATTTCAAATGTTTTTATTTTTTGCATATAATTTAAAAAAAAAATATGTGTATATATATATGTGAATATTAAAAAGTCAAGTAAATGTTTGCAATACACATAATACAAAAATAGATGGTCGCATAAATAACACAAAAAAATATTTGTCTTTAAAGTTTTGCAAGAGTACACATGTTCTCTTCGTATATATAATATTATATTATAATTATTTTTATTTAATTTTAGATTTTTGTGACATTTTATATAATATTGTATATATAATATATTAAATATTGAAAATCCGAAGTTTTAATCAAATTTTTATGGGACATGAAACGGGTATGATTGCTGAATTAATAACTACATATTACTGAATTTGTATATAGTGTATTACTATAGAAAGATCTTTTATTACTTACACATAAAAATAAATGTAAGAAATACATCAATTAATATTTAAGTACATTTATGTATATACTTGTGGTTTATGCCTTTCTTTTAACTATAGCACTAGCAGCATAACTGTGTTTAAAGATATAACAACAAATCAACACAACTTTAGAATTAATCTAAGTTTGTGATCATTGCTCTTAGTTAACAGGCAAGTATGATAGGATTCTGTATTCAGTACTTGTACTTCAAGAACTATAGACGATGAATAACCACTTATAGTAGACATTTAATATTATCTGAAATAACTTTGTTTGATACTTAGTTAGCACTGCTGGTTCAAAAATAATTTGCTGACAATTTGATCATCGAAATCATTCATTTACCTAGTCAATTTTTTTATTTAAACCATTAACAATCGATATTAGGCAATATACGAAACTACTATATTATTAAAATCAATTTCGAATTTGAAATTAACTCCCTTTTTATTTGAAATGGATTCTCTCGTCAGTCCGATCTATAGAAGCAGAAGTTCCTCAGGGATCGCCACTTTCCCCCACTCTCTACAACACATATACATCTGATATTCCAATGTTAAGTCTCTCGACTCTGATGTTATATGCTGACGATACGTGTATGCTGTACTCAAATAAATATACTCTCAATATAGCCAACACACTTTAAGAGCATATAAACCTCATTCTGGAGTATTTTCAGAAATGGAAAATAAAAATCAATAATAAAAAAACTAAGGCTCTGTTTATTACGCGTAAGTGGAGACAGAATCCGTTGAGAGTGAGAGTGGGAGATATGGTAATAAACTGGGAGTATAGCGTTAAATAGCTCGGCATCCCGTTGAACAAACGATTCATATGACTGAAACATGTTTAACTAAAAAGAATTATCTGTGCCAAAATTTTTCATCACCTCCAACCACTATTCAGAAATGAAAATCTCAATGCTAACATAAGAACAGGAAACTGATATATAACCAAATAATTCGTCCGTCACTTATACATGGCTGTGTAGCGTTTAGCAAAACTTCAAACACTACTATCTACTATATAGAAATTGCACAAAGCCAGGCTCCGAGAAGACTTTTCAAAGTACCATGGTACATTAGGACGAATGACATCCTCAGGGATCTCAAGATTGATCCGATCAAAAAATACAGATCTGAGTTATGCAGATCTGAGGTCAATTATTGTTTAGTCTGATGAAGTGATAAAGAATAATCTAGTGAAGACGTAAAAAGGGGTTTTAAAAATACGTCAAGTTAAGAAAGAGTAAAAGTGCTCAAATGCACTGGCTGAAATAGCTTCAACATAATAATACATAAAATTTTTTATTATTTTAAAATCGACAAATTATAAATTTATCGGTTTCGAGTCTTAGAAATACTTATGTATATATATGTAACATATATTTCTTATTTGATTGCACATTAATTAAACTAAATGATTGCTTGAAAATGAATGCGGACAAGTGAATTGAATAAAAACTGCCTTCAACAACTACTTTTGAACAAGTGCTGGGTCAGAAAAGAAAGGGGTACGCATTGTCACAGCCACTTGTCAGAAGATATTTAATCATTATTAACTTGTTATATATCTATCCAATACCAGTATTCGTAGCATGAACGTAATGGTTGTCCAGTTCTAAAAGGAAAAATCTGTACTCAAAATTACTATAGTTAACTAAAGTGTCGAAATTTCTTCGTTTTAATAGAAAAATTTTTCTTATTAAAGCACAAAAGAACTACACTTCTACGGGACGAATTGCCAGTAACATCTATTTACTTCTCTACACGTATATTTATCGTCTTTTAGTAAGAAACATTTCATATATACTTTTGAAGAAATCTAATATTTTTAAAATTTTTTAATTAGTTTGTGTTATAATTTGAAAACAATTTCATAATATATTTTTATTCCAAAATAAAAAATTATTAAAATTATCATATATATTAAAAATTTTTTTTTAAAAAATTAAAATTATTAAATTTCAACAAAATGCTTTTTTATATTGATAAAACCAGGTTTTTTTTTAATATTTTTATATATTATTTTACGAAATACCGCATTATAAAATATTAAAAAAAATTTAAGTATTTTTATATTCTCAATATATTTTTTATTTTTCAAAAAACTATTATGTCAGTTTTTGTTCCAACTTCCAACAAATCTGTAATTATTATAAAACAATTCACATAGATTTTATTAAAATTCAAGAAAATTCCATAAATTTTATAGAGAAATTAATGTAACTCTACACTGTTACATAATAAATAAAATATAATTGCACAATAACGCATTCAAAAAAAAAAATTATATATTTTTAAAATTTAAATAAAACATTCAGTCTTATCGATTTTTCCATTTATTAATTATTACAATATTTTTTAAATTAAATTTAAATATTTGATTTTTTTTTTAATTTTTGAAACTTCTTTACTCTAAAACATCCCAAACGGTTGCACTTTACAGACTAAATTTATTCTCGTTTCGAATATTGAAATTTTCTTTACATTTTTCGCTTGTGCAATAGAAAACTTTTTTTAGCACTTCAAATCTTTCATTTCTTCTACTTTTTACGATTGCATCGGTTTTTTAAACAAAACTCGATGGTTTTTTATTGTGTAGACTGTTACATCGACTGCCCCTCCGCCATCGCCTTTACAGCCCAACGTAAGTCTATTTGGGATAGGTTCATTGAAAACAATCGAATACTGTGACGGCAGCGAATGTAATTTGGTTTCGAAATCTCAAAAATTTTGTTTAACGCTCGGTGAATGTACGCAAAAATGACGTCGGGCCTTCCTCTATTTGTTTTATTTATTAAGATTTTGCTATTTTTAATCTCCACAAAACTGAACAGTGGGTAAAATTATTAAATTTCCAAAAAGAAAAATATCTATTTATTATTACATAGGACAAAAGAGAACGTAAATATATGCATATACATACGGTTTATGGTCTCGAATTTCCCCGCAAACAGGTTTTATTCATAAAATAGGTTTTATTCATAAAACAGGTTTTATTCATAAAACAGGTTTTATTCATAAAACAGGTTTTATTCATAAAACAGGTTTTATTCATAAAACCATTGATATCTCAAAATTCGTTTACTTTCTCTTCTATTTTCTGGTGAACACCGCTTTAGTTCCCGAAGGACTAATGGACTATTGATCAGTTTATACACTCAGAGCAATATGGTCTTATATAGCTCATGTAGTGAAGAAGATATGAAAACCAACATATGTTATGACTGAACCAACCTAATGCGTTGAGTAAGAATATTTTGGCCTGAGATGTAGTTACAATCTGGTTAAATCAACAAAATTATTATCTAATAATGACTTTTTTACGTTCAATATGGATTTAATATTTAGTAACGCTTTAGCATTAGAACTAAAATATCTAATTGGTAAAAAAAGTATATTAAAATAGATTGAAAATCTTAGTAACATAAAATTTTTAATGAGTTATCTATCCACAGAAATTTATTAATTTTTTTTTGTGTTTTGTTTTGCAGTAGGTGGAAAGCATCGAAAATCACAGTCCGAGACTATGAAAACCACCACTTAGGAATAAATAGAGAGGATTTCCACAGCAGTGAGAAGACTTCATTCCAGTAATCAAGGAAGACAGATGTGAACATATAGGCTTAATACCTAGTGAGCTAGATTCAACTAAGCCAGAAAACAAAGGAGTAAATTAGGGAGATAGGATGATGAATGATATATAAATAAAATAAAACTCAGAAATTAGTTTTTTCAGTAAGTAAAAAAAATGAAAAGCCACCATGTATCTTTAAGAAAATATTTGAAAAAATATACACAGCTCTCAAACCATGAAGATCCATTTTATTGCAAATCGTATTCCGATATTTATGTAAAACAAGTTACTTTTTCCCTGACTTCAAGTAAGACTATCCTTTGGTTCTATTCTCAAAACTACAGCTATAGTGACTTGGATAGTTTTTGTTTGGTTTAGATTGGATCAAATCGTCGATAGCTAGTTTCCTAACAGATTTGAGGATGCCGAAAAAGGCCGTGATCCACAAGAACCAGGATCCAATAACCCGCTATTTAATTTTTTATATAGCAAATTGACCTGGAATCCAATGATAGATAATAGATAGATAGTGTATTAATACTTTGTTTATCCACAAATTTTATTATAAAAAGTCGCATAAATATTGTAAATATGATAATTTAATTTGTAAATGAAAACTTCTTATCTCTTTTATGGGGAATGCCCATATTCTATGTATTAAGTATCTGGAGATTTGTCACAATTTTTTACACCTGCATAGATTTTTAATTTTGACTCAAAATGCGAGTAATAAGTATTTAAATTTGTCTTATAATTTTTATCTTAAGTTGAAAGCAGGGTACTGTCTTATTAGTCTAGATTTGTAAGCGATATATCACCCAATTTGTTTTTACGATTATACTTTTGAGTGTTTTGTAATATCACATGCAAGTTAATTGCAAAATATTGTCAAAATACTGAAAAGAAACCAAAACATTATCTGTCTTCTTTAAGATAAACGAATAGGTAATCTGGATTCTGATGACTTACATTTAAATTAAAAAAACCTTGACTCCATTGATTTTCACGTTATAAATGATAATGAACTATAAAACTACCAGTATACAGCAAGTCAAGATGTATATAATTAATTGACAGACCTACATCAAAAAATATAAACTGCATAAAACAAATTTAATTTCATTTTAAAATTGCTTTTGCTTGTTAAAACTTCTTAAGATACTATTCTAAACACAAATATTTCTAGTACTTTCAGATACACTTTCTTTGCAGTCATCTGATCAAAATCTTAGATTTATTCGAATACGTTATTAATGTAACATAATATATAATACTTATGGCTTTAAGCTATATGATTCAACTTTTCAAGACTTCTTCAACTTACGTCTTTTATACGCTTTTGACTGTTTATATAACAGTCATGTATTCGCACGTATAAATTTTCTTATTTATTTAGAAACTTGCTAAAAGTTAAATGCTTTACTTATCACTTCTGCTACACGTAATTCTTAATCTTTTTCACAGAGAAGATAACCTGACCTATTACGCGTTAAAGTATTCCATGAGAACAAGATTTTCAGACGCTGATAACATCTTCAAGCTACCGTAGCCCAATAGGAAAAATAAAAATAGAAATAGGTTTTTAGATTGTCTATATTTGCAAATTATTTGAACAATAACAATTATTTTATTTATTAGCATATTTTTAATATTGTTTGTTTTTTATATCGCAGAATATCGTATATATAAGTTCTTAATCGTCGCATTTCATATAACAGTCCAGTAACTATTTTTGATATTTATTTAAGTGAGCTTATTTGCTGAATGCTATATTCTCAACTCTTCAAGTAAATCATGTTATTACAGTGGGCTTACATATTCCTTCCAGTTCGGGTTGTTACAACCTCAAACGTTTGGATTTTTACTTTCTACACCTGCGTTTTCTTGTATTTGAGAAACTTTGAGCTAGAGCAGAAAGTGGTACATAAATACTTTTCTTTTTCCACTATTTTCTTCAGATGATTTTCTTCGAGGTGCTAATTTATTTTGTTTTCTTTTCTTGCTTCTCCTCACTGCCCTTTTTGTACCTTTTTCTTCCAGAAGAATTTTCTTTAGAGTCCATCTTACTTTTTCTTTTCTTTCTTGCTTCTCCAATTCACCACCTTTTTACCTTTTTCTTACAGATGAATATTCTTCAGAAGTGCTATTTAACTTTTCTTTTTTCTTTGCTTCTCATCACCCACCTTTTTTACCTTTTTCTTCAGATGAATTTTCTTCAGGGTACTATTACTTTTCTTTTCTTTTCTTGTTCTCCCATCACACCTTTTTACCTTTTTTCTTCAGATGAATTTTCTTCAGGTACTTATTTACTTTTCTTTTCTTTCTTGCTTCTCCATCACCACCTTTTTTACCTTTTTCTTCAGATGAATTTTCTTCAGAGGTACTATTTACTTTTCTTTTCTTTCTTGCTTCTCCATCACCACCTTTTTTACCTTTTTCTTCAGATGAATTTTCTTCAGAGGTACTATTTACTTTTCTTTTCTTTCTTGCTTCTCCATCACCACCTTTTTTACCTTTTTCTTCAGATGAATTTTCTTCAGAGGTACTATTTACTTTTCTTTTCTTTCTTGCCTCTCCATCACCACTTTTTTTACCTTTTTCTTCAGATGAATTTTCTTCAGAAGTAATATTTATTTTTCTTTTCTTTCGTGCTTCCCCATTACAAACTATTTCACCTTTTTCTTCAGGCGAATTCTCCGCAGATATATCATTTGCTTCGTTTTTGCTTGCATCTGCATTAGCATCATTTTCTTCAGATGAATTGTCTTTGGAAATATTACTAGCATTTGTTTTCGTTATTGTTTCATCGCTATCGTTTACCATTTCCGATTCTTCAGAAGATTTTTTTTCCAAATTTATTATTTTTATCTGGTCTTCACGAATGCTTTCAATTAAAACAACATCATCATTTTCTTTCACTAAATCTGCTTCGTCCAACGAACGTCGAAATCTTGGTAGTTTTGACTTATAGTTTAAATATTCATCATGATTTCCCCCATTTTCTGAAGAATGGCCATCGTGTTTAGATTTACAACCACATGGTAAATCATCGGGTATATCTCGTTTATGCTTTAATTCAAGTTGATAAGGCCTTAATGATTGAAAATGTTCATCATCTTTTACAGGCACAGCTGTACTTAATGTTATTAATATAAGTACAGCACTGAAATATTCCAATTTATTTAACATTATTTTTAAATTATTTATTTTATTTTTATTTTAACTTTTTTAACAATTCTTAACTTAACCGTTTACATGAACATCAAAATTATAACTAAAAATCAAATCCATTCATGCAAAAACGTAAGCTTTGAAGAGATCTGCTTATCTTCAAATCTAATACTAAAATAAATAAACAAATTAAATTAAATCAGAATAAACATATGTTGTCATATTTATATATATTTATTTAAAATTATTTATTACTAACATTTTACTGCAACCAAACTCTTATCGTGCAAAGAGCAAGTACTACGCGTTGGGCAACTCAGTCTCTGTAGGGTTGAATAAGGTTTACATTACAGATTTGCAAGATCAACAAAATATTATATTTTTTACTTATATACTTTTCCCACTAATTATTTGTTTTAAATAAAAACTATAAATACAAAAATTAATTTAGATTTCTATTTAAACGAATCTTAAACGTAAACTACAACTCGGAGAATTTTGAATTAGAAAATCATTTACTTTTTTGTTTATACTATTCAAAAGGTTAAACATAAATCTTAGAATTTTATTTTTTTTCTAAATTTAATGAATTCATCATATATTTAACAAAAACAAATATAAAACTTTTATATAAGCAGTCTTGCAACATGTAATTAATTATATTGTCAATCAGTAATCTGATAATAAAGTCTGAATCACCGATTAGAGAAAATTATATTGCGACTAATTTAAATGCTTGATTCATATGAATCGATTAATACAAAATCTGATACATTTCTTTAAAGTGAGGATTCACCTTAAATGTTCTAAAAAGAAATAGATGTCACCGCTATTGTATGGTGTTCTCTACTTACAATTATTTTCTTTTTTTATTAAAAAAATAAAGTAATCAAGTTTACTTGACAGAGAAGTTATGCGAATATATTACCTACAAGAAGTCAGGTATGACTATTTATAATAGTTGCAGTAGTTAATCCCCTCTTATCGTTTCTGTTACTCAAACCATTGCGTTAAGATTAATACTAACGTTTAAAAATTATATAATCATGTTTAACCAAACATTTTGCTGAAAGAGAGATCCATACTATGATTTACATTTTATTTCGAGCAAAATCTACGAAATCAGATACAAACCAGCTCAGCTTCTCAGTATGCTACATTTTATATGACAACATCAACACTTAATATAGATTAAATAGAATAGATTAAAATTTTACTTGTTTTTTTTCGCACAACTTTTAGGTCGTTAGTTCATCGACTCAGCAATTGAGTTCATGATCCCTTATTACTCAGGATCTCTTATTAAAAACTCGTTATGAATTCGAGAAAAAAAATTATCTTCAAAAGTTTTTTATATCTTGAATGACAGTTGGAACCGTCGCGTATATTATTCCCTTAAGAATACAAGTTCAAACTGTCGAGCCCAACGCTGTAAGAAATATATATCACTGGATCTTACCTCTTTTATACATGATTATTTATAAAAAAGGAAATAAAATGTTCCTAATGATATTGAATTTGTACTTCAAGAAATCTACATAAACTAGATGACATCAATTTTACCACTAATAATTTTTTAAAACTGATTTAGTACATAAGTATTTAATATCTGCAATCTAATAAAATAAAAAAGATTGTATGTTAAATTAAACTTGTAGTATTTCAAGCAACCTAAACAATCTGATATAATGATATTGGAATATGTCAGTACAAGTCTACACATCAGCAGTACATATGCGATTTACCAAAAATGCAGATTTCCATAATAACTATATACCATATGAAAAAGCAGCTAATATTTATACATACAAAACCTATATATCACTTGCTCGTTTGCGATTAAGAAAGATCCCGAAGCAGTGATTGTATATTAGCGTCTATAAGTATGCATAAAATACCAATTCCTATAATTCTATTTAACATTCTATCCAAATTCTGAAAGAAACATTTTTCATACAAGATACTCATTTGTGATAAATATGGAGGAATAAGCTGTTGTTTCATCCATAAGCTTTTCACCGTAACAGACATTTTTTTATTGTAATTTTTTTTTTATTATAAACCAATAAACCACAATTAACGTAACGCATTAATCGGCTCTTGTTTTCCCTCCTTATTATCTGTCATACACACTGAATGCTAATGGCATCTGATGTCATGTTAGCCGTTCTAGTATTTCAATATTATGCCATTTAACATATATATACTATATATTATATGTATGACTCAGCCCAATTACCGAACTTGTCTTTTTGGACACTGTTTTCAAGACTACTGTTTCGCATCAGTAGTCCCCCAGTTGTGTGAGTTATCATTATCATCTGCTTCACTTGATAAATAAACAAACAACGACGCAAACTGATTATATTATATATACAAAAGTGAAACTATAAATAAACTCACAGATAGTAACTACACTACGGGTAGTTACTATTTTTTTTTTATTGTTATATACAGCTAAAATTGAATTGAATGTCTTGAAATAAGTTTATCTCACATTTAAAACAAATTCTATTTAATCTACTTAAGTTTACAATCTGAACCCATCTAATCTTGCGTGAATGATTAAATTATCATAAAGGGAACCTATTTCAGTTTTGATAGTAGTTTGTATAGATATTACACGGGTCTACTATACTCTATATTCATACATTAAAGCTCAATAAATGAAGTAAATTTCAATCAAATAAATAAATCGCATCACACGTGCGATTATATCCGAATAAATTTAATTTGTGGTGTAGGCTATATATTTTTATGAGCAATATTAACAGTTCACATTTTTTCTTCTTTTCGAAAAATAATTCCCCATCTTCCAACATGACATGTTAGTCTTTGAATGCAATTGTGGAAATTTGCCACAACGAGCCAGATATACCTATATTAGTACTCGCATATTCAATTTAGGTTCATTGCACTTTACTGGTCTTTTTTATTTCCGGTATTATAGCAGTGTTTGATTGATAAAAAAAAATAAGTAAAATAAATATATTAAATTGTTTTGTTTTTATTGCAAATTTTTGCAAATGTATTTTTAAATATTGCATTTTTTCCATCTGCGATGTTTACATACTCGCACAAACGATCAGCAACAATTACTCGAACTATTCCAACTATGCCATAGAATACAAAATGAACTTTGTTTGGAAAATTGAATTTCCACTTTCGTAGTTGTTGTTGTTGTATTTAATGTTTAGTTTGATTGAATCGTGCCTGTTGTTCAATTGATGATGAGTCCATGTGCCATCATGTACGCCCAATGGCGCCATATTTGATTTCCGCCTTTCCATTGTGCCTTTTGGAAATGTTGGAGTAAATCAAGCAACCTGTAAGTCAATGAAGCGCATATCCATACATAATGAGAATAACAATTCCACACATAAACATACACACACACATCCATACAAATGAAAATGTACAACACAAATACAAAATCATTTAAACAGACAAACATAAACATACAGGCAATAGGACGGTTGAGGAATTTTTACTGGTAATATAAACTTTATTATCGTTTTAATGGAATTTTATTCAGGACATGTCAGTGAAATCGAATGAAATTTTAATAGAAATTCTGTAAAATTCTTGTTAGTTTCAAAGTATATATTTTATGTATTTAAACTTACATAGAAAGTTTTCATAAAAAGGACAGTTCAATAAAACTTTTACTTAGTAGTGCTATAAACAAAAAGACTTAATGAAAACTTTTCGATTACTACTAATAATAAATAGTTTTCTTTTATTTGCTAGCTAATTTTACAAAATAAATTATCCATTAAAGAGTTTTTAAAAATTGTACTGGTGTTCCCTAGTGTTGTGTATACTTTCAATTACTTTGAAGAAATTAAAATTTATTTTAATTAAAACGTTGAGTTATTCAGACTGTACCTATTACAGTCTCTCCACATTTTCAAGCCTGTGAACTAGTTTACAGTGCATCACAAGACATATTCGAAATGATTATTATACTGTGTTCTAAATTTTAACTCTATAATTGGTTACTTTGCCATACAAATTTTGGATACTACATTTTTAGTGAAATCTCCAAAATATATCTATCATTGGAGCCTTCAGAGAACCATAAAAATTGATTATAAAAAGTCTCTTACAGATATCAAGACTTTCAATACTGAAAATGTCTATAAGTAAGTTTCTCTAAAGTTATTGTTTAAAACTCTCTTACAGATATCTAGACTTTCAACACTGAAAATATCTATATACAAGTTTCCCTAAAATTATTTTTCTATCTTAATCATCCGTCTCTTTTAGCACAATTAGGTTAGGTGATCCCGGCGATCCCAAGGGATGTGTTACCATGTATAGATAAACTCTGAGGTTTAGAACCACTTTGAAACTTTGGTACAGCTTATAATGCTATTTAAGGGGAGGTCTTGCAATTAACCAAGATCCTCAAAAAAAAAGCCAGTAAAGTGGTAAGTCGGCGCCCGCATTTGTCGGACAAAAACAAAGCAGATGGGTGGCACTTTCATCGTCTTCTCGACAATTGCGACAGGTATAATTAAATGGGAGGTTCACTCTTTTAGCATGGTTGCCTTAAATGCAGTGACCTGTGAGTAAACCTACCACAAGATTGATATCTTTAAGAGGCATTTCAATAAAAAAATTGGGTTTTGTTTTAATAGAACGTGGCCAAATTTCCTACAAATGTGTATATATCGTTAAGTCGTATTTTGGTGTACTGTTTGGCACGCTCTTTGCTCCGTTTATAGACTTAAGTGATGTAATACACACTGAAGCAGAACTTTCTAATATTCTTAATGGCTTGATTAGCAAATGTACGGATTTAATCAAGTTTCAATCAAAAACGACAGAGTACAGAAACGAAAGAATATAAAGATTTTTATGTTCAATTTAAATTAAAATTAATAATAAAACTTTACAATTTTGTACGTCGTATAGTTCTTTTACTTTATTTTATTTGTTTTTATTATAAATTTTTAAATTACTGACTAAAAAACAAAATTAAATATTTAATATTATTTTCTGCAGAAAAAAAA